GTACAGAGTACTTTCAGTAAGTTTCAAGTCAATCGCCCAGAAAAATAAAAAGTTTCATGCATATTCGTACTATAACAGCTTAGGGGTTGAATTTTCGAAAATACTTTCTTAGTGGATGCCTTCGTCATAAAAATTTTCTACTTTCGTAATTTCACAATTTTACATCTAGTGATGCTGGCTGTACGTTGATAGATGTTTTAGTCACTCGATGCATCCCCTAGTGGCACTAGCACGTATAAAAACTGCAATTGCAATTAACAAATTTATTGGTGCCGGCGGGTGTTGAACCCGGGTTATTCAAGTACTGTCAAATTTACAGCGAGCATACATAATACGATTGAGCCCGGAGCGGTCCGTCACGGAGTCCCAGTCGCCTCAGATGACCCGAGAGGCTAACTGGGATTATTGATAGAATCAGGCGTTACTTTGCGGAAATCCATTATAATAAAAAATAAAAATATAAATTTCTTTGCAACTTTCCGCTAAACATACAAAATGATGTGTCTTACCTGGATTGTAGCGCACCTCCCGCCCTCCCTCAATTGCATACACTAACTCCGTCACCACTAGACCAAGCACCACTACTCTCAACACCACTATTCCAGGCAAGACACACCATCGACGATAATACGACACGTGTTTCGCCTCTACACGAGGCATCCTCAGGTAATATAGACTCTACGGCGGCTGACCGCTAAGTAAAAAGAGCGGCGAGTCGAAACAGTTGCTATTTATACACGCTGACACAATCGCTCCCTACCAAAGTAGCGAGTGACCGCGTCGTGCGATAACAAACCTGCCAACAGTTATTATTATTGTTATGATTATTTTTAAATACTATTATTATTATTGTTTTGAGTGACCGCGCCGTGCGATAACAAATCTGCTACTAATTATTATTATTGTTATGATTAATATTTTAAATACTATTATTATGTGTGGGGTATCTATATAGTTTTCTCATTTGGTTGGGATGTATAAATATATAATTATAAGCGAAAATGAAAAGATAAATATACAAAAATATCAATAAAATAAAATAAATATGAAAATACATAAATAAATAAAAGCCCAACCAGATGGAAGCCCTCGGCAGGGGAGACCAAACGGCCGAGGGTTAGGGGGAAAGGGAAAGAAACCGGCGGACGATGCGGGCGGTATCGAGGAGCACCGCCTTCTGCATTTGAGCCTGGAGCGGTCCTCCACGTAGTCCCAGCCGCCTCAGATGACCCGAGAGGCTGACTGGGATTAGCCCGTTTGCAGAGATGACTACAGGAATAATTTCGGTCGGCAGACCACCCCACATGTCGGTCACCTCGTGAGCCAGGTCCAGATATTTTGTTTGCTTATCTGTTTCGGCTTTCACGAGGTTCTCGTCACACGGAATGGTAATGTCGACCAAAAATATCCTTGACTGTGCCCGGTCCATCAGCACAATATCAGGCTTATTCGCAAGAATAGTCCTGTCTGTGATGATGGCCCGGTCCCAATAGAGCCTGGCGCGATCATTTTCGAGCACGGCTTCCGGCAAGTACTTGTAATACGGCAACTTCCGATCCACGAAACCGTATTTCAGAGCGAGCTCCTGGTGTAGAATTCTGGCTACTAGGTTGTGCCTGTGCAAGTACTCAGAGTTAGAAAGCGCCGAACAACCGGAGATGACATGCCTAAGTGACTCACCGGGATGGCGACAAGCTCGACAGATGTCGATGGTGCCATCCTTTAGGATGTATCTCCGATAGTTGTTGGTCTTAATAACCTGATTCTGTATTGCACAGACAAAACCCTCGGTTTCCCCGAAGAGGTCACCAAAGCGTAGCCAGTGGAGAGAGGTTACTGTGTCTACGAAAGGCCCATGTAGAGACTTGTAGAACCTCCCGTGGAGCTCCTTCTCCTTCCATACGGTCTCCCGGTCGGAAATTGTCTGCACTGCCGGGTCTTGCCATTGCTCGTTGGCTAAGGATAGAGGGGTAAGTCTTTTATCACAAGAAATGACGTCCTTATAGAATGGATCATCCGATCTCGCCAGGAAGTAATTACGGAGGCTGCACACTTCGCGAATGCATCCTGTGGGACGTCATTATTATTATTGTTATTATTGTTTTATTATTATTTAGGGGTATCTATATAGTTTTCTCATCTGGTTGGGTGCTATAAATATATAATTATAAATGAAAATGAAAAGACAAATATACATAAATATCAATAACATAAAATAAATATAAAAGTACATAAATAAATAAAAGCCCAACCAGATGGAGGCCCTCGGCAGGGGAGACCAAACGGCCGAGGGTTAGGGGAAAGGGAAAGAAACCGGCGGACGATGCGGGCGGTATCGAGGAGCACCGCCTTCTGCATTTGAACCTGGAGCGGTCCGCCACGTAGTCCCAGCCGCCTCAGATGACCCGAGAGGCTGACTGGGATTAGCCCGTTTGCAGAGACGACTACAGGAATAATTTCGGTCGGCAGACCACCCCACATGTCGGTTACCTCGTGAGCCAGGTCCAGATATTTTGTTTGCTTGTCTGTTTCGGCTTTCATGAGGTTCTCGTCATACGGAATGGTAATGTCGACCAAAAATATCCTTGACTGTGCCCGGTCCATCAGCACAATATCAGGCTTATTCGCAAGAATAGTCCTTTCTGTGATGATGGCCCGGTCCCAATAGAGCCTGGCGCGATCATTTTCGAGCACGGCTTCCGGCAAGTACTTGTAATACGGCAATTTCCGATCCACGAGACCGTATTTCAGAGCGAGCTCCTGGTGTAGAATTCTGGCTACTAGGTTGTGCCTGTGCAAGTACTCAGAGTTAGAAAGCGCCGAACAACCGGAGATAACATGCCTAAGTGACTCACCGGGATGGCGACAAGCTCGACAGATGTCGACGGTGCCATCCTTTAGGATGTATCTCCGTTAGTTGTTGGTCTTAATAACCTGATCCTGTATTGCACAGACAAAACCCTCGGTTTCCCCCGAAGAGATCACCAAAGCGTAGCCAGTGGAGGGGAGGCTACTGTGTCTACGAAAGGCTCATGTAGAGCCTTGTAGAACCTCCCGTGGAGCTCCTTCTCCTTCCATACGGTCTCCCGGTCGGAAATGCTCTGCATTGCCGGGTCTTGTCATTGCTCGTTGGCTAAGGATAGAGGGGTAAGTCCTTTATCACAAGAAATGACGTCCTTATAGAATGGATCATCCGATCTCGCCAGGAAGTAATCACGGAGGCTGCACACTTCGCGATTATGCATGGTGAGCGCGCTCAAGAAGCCACGACCACCATGCTTCCGCGGCAAGTACAGCCTCATTACCGACGATCTCGGATGATGCATCCTATGGGACGTCATTATGAGTGCGGACTTTTCTATCCAGGGCGTTAAGTTCAGTCTGAGTCCACCTGAGTATGCCAAAGGTATACATGAGGACAGGCATGACCCAGCCGTTATATGCGTGTGCCTTATTCACACCGGACAAAAGGCTGTTAAGCACTTTGGTCAAGCGTGCATAAAACACGTCGCAAACTGACTGTTTCATACCAGTCTCATCGATACCGATGTTTTGTGACATACCCAGGTATCGGTATGTTTCAGCCTCGGAAAGGGTCCTTAAGTTGACGGGCATAGATAAGTCTACGCCCTCAGAGTTAGCAACCCTTCCCCTTTCAACATGGAGGACCGCACACTTATCCGTCCCCAGCTCCATTCCAATGGAATTGCTAAATTCACAAGTGATGTTTAGCAATTCCATAAGATGGGAGCGACTGGAGGCGAATAACTTGAGGTCATCCATATAGAAAAGGTGGGTCACTTTTGTCCCTCCTTTCCGTAGCTGAAATCCCCTCCCGGAGCCCTCCAGTAAGGTACTGAGAGGGTTCAGAGAGAGGCAGAACCAGATTGGACTCAGACAATCGCCCTGGAAGATACCCCTTCTTATCCTTATGTGGTTCTCCGCAGCCATCATCCGCTCGCCTAGATGACAAAGGATCGTACTCCACTGCCCCATACACTGCTCGAGGAAGTCTCTAACTGTACAGTCTATCTTGTACAGCTCGAGGACTCTCTTTAGCCATGTATGGGGCACCGAGTCGAATGCCTTTCTGTAGTCTATCCAGGCGGCGGAGAAGTTCCGACGGTTGCGTTTCACCACTTTGCCAATGACCGCGTCAATGAGGAGTGGTTCCTTGGTTCCACGACCACCGCCCCGACATCCATTTTGAGCGCGCGACATCACCTGATTTGAGTCCAGGTGACAAGTGATTCTCGCGCTCAAAATGGATGTTAGTGTCTTGTATATGGTCGGTAGACACGTGATGGGGCGGTATTTGCTCGGGTCTGTGGTACCCTGGTCTTTAGGAACTAAATGAGTGATCCCAGTAGTGAAGAGGCTTGGGAGCGACTTCTGGTTGAGAGCCTCTTGAAACTGTCGGGCGAGCACAGAGTGACACACCATGAACCCCTTCAGCCAGTAGTGATGCAGCCCGTCAAGCCCCGGACTTTTCCAGTTCGGGGCCCTACGAACCGCCTCAGCTACGTCATCCGGCGTTATGATGACGGGGTCCATGGGCGTAATACCCGCACACTGACTCGCCACAACTTCCGTCCAAGGGCCCTCGCTGTGGTTTACGGGCTCTGACCACAGGCCGCGCCAGAATGCTACAGTGTCGGCCTGATTCGGTGCTGGACCCGTTCCACTTACCATTGGTCGCTCCAATGATTCATAGAGCCTCTTCTGATCACTCTGGAAGAGACGATTCTGGTTGAACCGTGTCGACCTCTCGGTATATCGCCGAATCCGCTTTCCCCGAGCAGCGATTCTCTGCTTCAGATCATCTATGCGCTCCGTCAGTTTTTGCGTTATATCCGGCTGGGACAAACTGACATTTGTCCCAGCAAACGCCATCCTGACGGTGCGCACAATTCTTGGCCTGTTGTTGCCTGATCTGAAGCATATCAGTCTGCCGATGAGAGCTCTAGAGAATTCTTCTTCTCCATGCTGGGATAGCGCTACTATGGCCAGTAGCGCGTCCAGCCGTGGAAACCTTGGCGCCTATGATACGGCAGACTGCCAGCGCGGCGCCAAAAAGAATTGAGTCCGTCTCGCAAAGGTCCCGGCTGGCTTCCAAATAGGTAACCAGCATTGGGTTCAGAGCCCTCACGACAGCCCGATTCCGCTTGCTTAGGGCTATGCGGGGGAAGTCGCGGTCGATTTTCGAGAGGCGTACTGCGCGTTTCCACAATCGCCTCTTCCAATATACTCCTCATATGCTCTAATTCCAGTTCCTGGGCGACTGTTCCATCATCGTTTGAATCAACCACAACTGGGGTATTCACGGCGGCATCCACGTTTGCGGGTTGCTCTACCATTTGTGGCGCCGCATCCTCAGCCGTAGCATTCTCATCCGACGAGGGAACAGCCTCAAGTCGTATATTATTATTATTATTATTATTGTTTTCTTGATATTATTATAATTATTTATTATTATTAATCTTAAAATTATTATTAAAGATTGGCCTTAAAGATGTTTAACAAAGGTGAATTAGAAACATTTGTTTGTTCATTCAGCAGTGTATAATTACCATTATTACTTTTTAAAATCTCCAACTGCTCCAGCACACACAGTCGCAGCCCCTTATTACAGGTATGTAAGACTTCAAAGGAATGGTCGCTAGCTAGGTTGTGTCCAGTGTCCAAGAGATGTTTAGCAAAATGGGATTTATCAGGATTGCAATTTCTGTACGCGGCCATATGTTCTTTATAGCGCGTCCCGAAATTGCGACCAGTCTGACCCACGTAAACGGCGTGGCATTCGTCACAAACAAGTTTATAAACACCCGATTTTTGACTAATATTTAACTTATCTTTATTATTACAAATATTCCTAAGCGAATTGTTTGTTTTGAATGCCACGTTAACGCCGTTTTTCTTAAGACTATTAGCTATTTTTTTCCGATATGGGGCCTAAGTAGGTCAAACTACCCACATACCGCCGGACACTTTGAGATCGAACCGCGTACAAAGAATTGCGAACAACATGCTTTTGTTTCTTTTTAATAAGATTATCAACGAGACTTTTTGAAAAACCGTTAGAGACCGCAATTTGATAAATTATATTAAGTTCTTTTAAATAATTTTCTTTATTTAATGGAACACCAACACAACCACACACACGTCACAACCAACACACGTCTCGGACGTATACGCAAACTACAGCCCGATGCACAAATGAGTGTTCCAGTTTGTACCCCGGGTAATAGAGATACTAAACATCAGCCGAAGAGGACACCCGCGTCTCGCTCAGAAAGAGCAGAGCCTGCCTCGCAGTCTCGAGATGGTGGCATTTAGGTTAGAATTTAATTAAAAAAAATAAATTCATAGATAGCGTGGCAGGGGTCGCCTTGGTGTTGTTGCTCAGTTGGCCCCGAGCAGTTGTTGTCTTGAGTGGAATTTTGCCCACAGATTACATTATTTCAAGTAGAGCTATGACGTATGGTTAAGATATGGATAGAATTTCACTTCAACAGGGTTTGCATGGGAAAAAGTTAATGAGAGGGGCTTGAGCCTTTCCTGTGAATATTTTAATAGAAAACATAACACAAGATGTGATAAATTTAAAATTACTCACAAGAACCCATTTAGAAAAGTATTTCTCAAGTTATAAGATTAATTAAATAAAATTAATTAAAATGAAACTGGAATAGATATTCCAGATTATTTTTTTTTCAGTCAAAGTTGTTCTACTGGGCCACTTCTGCTGCAATCAAGCTGACCCTATTGTATAAGAAAATGTTATAAAATAAAGATAATTTATTTTATGTTATTAACTCAAATTTGTAATATTCACACAATATCTTCAATATTTTATATAAAATAAGGAAAATTGCAAATTTTCCATTCATTGGTATTATAATTCGCAGCCCTGTCATCTAACATCTACAAGTTGCGAAGAATATCTCGGACAAAGAGAGAGTATAATTAAATGATTAAACAAACTTACCTTAAGTGAAGTTCAACCATAATTATACGAAGCCATTTAATTATACTTGCTCTCTTTAACTTTTAACCCGGGGCACAGCAAAGCAGGCATTGCCGCTTGGCAGCATATATCTGCTGCTTGGCAGCATCTGTCTGCTGCTTGGCAGCATATGTCTTCTGCTTGGCGGTAGTGCACACTTGTAAGCGTCACTTTGTAAGAGAGTGTTGTCTACCAAAACGGATTCCTAGACACAGAAGAAGTCCCAACATCACAAAACGAAACTAACTGAACTAAAAATACTACACGGTTATATGATTTTTTGTGGGAGACACTGGCCAGTTATAATTTATATTAAAAATTATAATGTTCCAAGTTTTTTCTCCCCATTTCTACGAATGAAATTGAAATATTTCATTATGGAAAATGCATCGGGGACATTTTCACGCAAAATTTTTACTATTTCAAATATGAAATAAAATTCTAAAACCATAAAAATCGTTTGATATACTTCAAATAGAATTTACGAATAACAACCCTTGTAAGGTAACCTTGAAAACTGATCAAAACAGTCGACTAACTTTGAGAGTTGGAAAACGAGGCCGCTCTTTAATGATGGAAACAGTATGGAAAGAAACAGTTGACGGTTTAAAAATTAACCAACGCCTATTGAAGTAAAGCAATCGAGAAGCGCAGGGAAGCTTTATATCTTAAGTTTTTTTTTAACTTTTTTTATCGTTGGTTACGGATTTTCCAGCATCACGAGCGAGGTTTTTGGAAGATTTTGACGACAGCGGACAGTCGATAACGACAGTTACTCAAGTTCTTAAGGCGCCTAATGGCCAAAATCATTATTTAATTTTAAGATGTCGTTAAGTCTCGTGGTGTCACATTCACTTAAACTTAAAGTGATAGTTTGAAGATTTTGGGCACAAGCGAATAAAGTAACTTGATATTTATATTAATATGGAAGCATTTGTTCCGTCATTTCTATGAGCAGACACTTAATACACAAAATCGCTTCACTTTTACGATTCAAAATCCATTTCAAGCAATTATTTAAACTATAAGACGGTAACAACCACCTGTCAACGGCAAGTTCTCGCCGAAAGTATTTTTTCACTTCACTGTCTGGTGTCAATTCTCTATCGAAATTAAAGCGCCAATGCCGAATGACATACTAACAAATGCTTGCCAGAAGTTTTCATTGCAGTGAGCAAAAAGCAAATGAACATGAGACACCGCGGGCTACTGCTTCACTATGACAACGTTCCTGCGCACTCAGCGCTCACATCGAGGAACTTCCTGGATAGCACAACAGATAAGCCACCCTCTTTATAATCCTGATTTGAAACCATGTGATTTGTTTTCTTTAATTTATTTATGTACACACAACAAGACACAGAAACCGTCTTATAGTAAGTTCGTACAAAGGTTCTACTTATTTCATAATTTGCTGAAATATCTTTCAGTAGACCCATAAAGGACATAAATTACATATAATATTTATAAACCAATACTAATATATATCTCTTTCTTTAATAAATCAGCTAAAAGGGATACAGTTTTCATCACCAGATGATGTCCTAGCAGTATTTGAGCAAACCCTAGAGGAAATGTTTGAGCCAGACTGGACTATATCGTGCAGTGTATGAATATCCACTACACCATCTCGTACCGTGGGTATCGTAAAAGGTGACAGAGGGAAATTGAAATAGGTGAGACAACAGCATCAGTCTTATAACTCAAAATAATAAAAAACTGCGATTGCCAACCTGCCTGCCAAGCGTGGCAGAGTAGCTGTCTATGGGGGAGGCCTGTGTTCAGCAGTGTATTTTTATAGGCTGTAATGCGAGCGAAAACACATCGAAGGCTAAATCGCGCTATCAAAGTTCTGAAGTTAACGCGTTATATACAGAATAGACCACATACATACCCTTCGGCAAATTGTACAGAAGTCCAAAGAGTACAATCTGCTACTTTGCCTGGCGTATGTGGACTATGAGAAAGCCTTTGATTCCGTCGAAATTTCGGCGGTGCTACAGGCTCTTCAGTGGTGAAAAGTTGAATGTCGGTATATCGAAGTGCTGAAGTGTTTGTACAGTAGGGCTACGATGGCTATCCGAATACAGAACCAGAGTACGAAACCTATCCAACTGCAGAGAGGTGTAAGACAGGGTGACGTTATTTCCCCGAAACTCTTCACCGCTGCATTGGAAGACGTTTTCAAGTTACTGGACTGGAAAGGATACGGTATTAACATCAATGGCGAGTACATCACTCACCTTCGATTTGCCGATGATATAGTTCTTATGGCAGAATCGCTGGAGGATTTAAGCACTATGCTCTATGACCTCAATAGTGCCTCCCAACGGATGGGTCTTAAGATGAACATGGACAAAACAAAGATCATGTTTAATGTCCACACCTATGCCGGTAGTTGTTAGGATCACTATACTCTCTGTTGTCGAGTACGTTTACCTGGGACAAATAGTCCGACTAGGTAAGTCCAACTTCGACCGAGAGGTCAATCGACGGATTCAACTCGGTTGGGCAGCGTTCGGGAAATTACGACATATCTTCTCGTCAGGTATACCTCAAAACCTGAAAACTAAGTTGTACATCCAGTGTGTGTTGCCAGTGATGACTTACGGAACCGAGACGTGGTCCTTCACTGCTGGCCGTATGACGACGGTCAAAGTCGCTCAGCAAGCTGTGGAGAAGGCTATGCTCGGAGTTTCTCTGAGTGATAAACTTAGAAATGAGGATATCCGCAGTAGAAGAGACCATAGATATCCCAGAGTGACCGACATAGCCCAACGGATTAGTAAGCTGAAGTGGCAATGGGCCGGCCATATAGCTCGAAGAACCGACAACCGTTGGGGAAGAACCCTTCTTCTTCTCTTCTTCTTCTTCTCGAGTGGCAGCCTCGTACCGGTAGGCGAAGTGTAGGGCCCCCACTAGATGGAGTGACGACCTGGTAAGACATGCAGGAAGTCGATGGATGCAGATGGCTCAGGACCGTGCTTTGTGGCATACCTTGGGGGAGGCCTATGTTCAGCAGTGGACTTGTGAAGGGCTGTAATTATTATGATGATGGTGATACAGAACAGCTCCGAAATAACACGTGGACCGTTGATCTCTCACCGGGCAGAACTCCTTGCCTTGTGAGAGATTTCTCCTTTTCCTTCCACGGCCACAATGGTGACAAACCGATGTAATTGTGGACAAGCAACATGCAACTTTCGGAAACCTCACTTTGTTTATCGTCCTCAAGTACCACATATATTCGCTCCCGAGCAGATATCGCAGCACTGGAATAATGCCTTGTTGTTCCTACAAGTTACTCTCTGCGTTACAGTATTCGGCACGGCTCTGAGCCTTACTGCTCGC